AACAAAAAAGAACAATTTAAACTTGTACTACAGTCACCAAATACAAACCATCTTATCACTCTCTGCAAATATTTAGTTAAATCTAAACAAGACTAATTCTTTTATTTTGTCATGTTCTTTTATATTTTTTACATATTCTAATGCTACATACAGTGATACTTACATATCACTGTATTTTAATATTTCTTATATTATTAATATTTGTCTGTAGTATTCTTGTCGTTCACTAATGTTGAATTGTTCACTAATGTTGAATTCTTTTTAAATCAATTTTTATATTTCATGTACTTTTATTATTTACTTTATTAATCTGAAAACCTAAAAGGAAATGTTAACTCTTTCTTTACGGTATTAATAAAGCATTATTCTATTCTTCTATTCTTCTAGTATGTATGTTGTTGGTGTAAAGACGTCACAGGAGGAAATAGTACATAGTATGTATGTTGTTGGTATAAAAGACGTCACAGGAGGACAATAATAGCACAATAGAATGTACAATATTATGCAGTTCAGACCACAATGATACTTAAACTTAAACTAATTGTACCTGTAGTGGTATAGGTGTATGTATCAAATACAAATCAATATAATCCAACTGTAACTTCTTGTAGGATTCCATGAAATTTTTACGTACAGATTCTGGAGACAAGTATAACAGCTGTGAATACAAATAATACTAGATCTAATATAAAATTAAAACAAAATTTTTTTTTGAAAACTACATAAAATTTCATTGAATTTCAAACACTAGGAAGACAGTGATTTAGTATAAGTAATTATTCTGAGTAGACATAATTAATACCATCTTTAAAGTTTGACACAATGCATATCTGCCACGTGACAGTCAAAAAATGCAGTTGCATAAATTATACACAGCAAGTCTATCAATTGTAATAATATTAACCTTAGTAACGATGAAAAGTTCTTCTCTCTTAACTTTTCCATCACTGAGAACTTCTTTCAAGGCATCTCCGATTTCTTTTTCATTGAAATATGCATATGCAGTATCAAAATGACGATAACCAATGTCAATAGCAGACTTCACTGCATTACCAACTTCATCAGGTTTTGACTACAATATAAATCAAACAAGCCATGCATGGCACAGTCCCCGTTAGTTATCAAATTTAAGATATATAGTTTTGTTTATAGTAATATAGCTGGAATATAACCATGGAATATGATTTTTTAACATTAAAATGATTGACATTTGTATCTGATCGTCAAACAAGTACTTATCCATTTTGAATACATGTATATATATATAACATGATGTATAACGAATATATAAAATTTGAATATAATCAGTCGAAGCATTTAAGAGATATGGCTCTAGAAGCCCAATCATTAAAACAAAATGGCTACCAGTCAGCCATTTTTAATTCAATCTGAAAAATAAAATGACGTGCATCAGGAACCCGTAATGTCTAATGTATGTACCAAGTTTAAACGAAATCCATCCATAAATGCGTGATATTTGATGATTTTTTAGCACAAAAATGACCACCATTCGGCCATTTTGAATAGTATCGTCAAACCAATATATCTGTTTATCTATGACATGAGTATAATGAATATTTAAAATTTGAATATAATCAGTCAAAACAAGTCAGAGATATAGGTCTAGAAGCCCATCCATTAAAACAAAATGGCCGCCAGACAGCCATTTTGACTCCAATCTGAAAAATCAGGTACCTGTAATGTCTAATATATGTATATATGTAAGTTTGAACAGAATCCATCCATAAATGCTTGATATTTGATGATTTTTTAGCACAAAGATGGCCACCGTTTGGCCACCAGTCGGCCATTTTGATTCTTACCTGAAAAACAAAATTATTTGCATCAAGGTCCCATAATGTCTAATGTATATACCAAGTTTGAACAAAATCCATCTGTAAACAGCCGAGAAATGCTTGATTTTGATGATTTTTAGCACAAAAATGGCTGCCATTCAGCCATCTTGAATCAGATCGTGAAACAAATTGACATGCATATGTATAATATCATGTATGATGTATGTGTGAAGTTTGATTGTGATTGGTCCAGGCATTTCTAAGATACAGGTTCAGACGCACGCACAGACTCACTCACGCACGCACGCAGACACATGGAGGTTTAAACATAAGTCCCCGTTTTCGGACTGTGTCCGAACGGGGACTAATAAAGCTTAGAAATAACTCCTGTGTGCTATGAGGCATGAAGTACAAATACCAAATACTGTATTCATTAGAAGCACATCACATAAAACAAAACTTGTATTTATTGCATAAAAAACTTATTTTGACCACAGACTTGCCTTTACACTTGAGCAGATGCGATTCAAACAGGGCGAATATATGGCATTGAAAAACATAACTGCAAGCACTGATCAGAGTGGTTCAAAATGGCTATGATATAACAACAACAAATATTAAATGAAATCATCATCATTTATGATGACGTGCATATATATGATATTTCGATTAGATATCTTGCCTGACAAAACAATTATAGTGCTTAATATAGTTGTATGTCCTGCCTATCTACAGCAGTGCTTTATATCATAAGTGA